TGTTTTTAGGGCGACAACGTGTTCGTTTAAGTACAAACCCTATCGCTGAAGAGAAAAATAGTTTTCATAATTTTAAAGTTTATTTATAGAAAGAATTAATTTTTTCATAACGATTCCTTTGCACCCACCCTATGGCTTTGAAAGAAAACACTCAACTTTTTTACATCCTTCTTTCTTTGTATCTTTTCGAAGACGTAGTTTTAAATAACACCTTAAAAATCATGAACAAATCTTAATAATTGCTACTTTCCATCCTTACAAATATTTCAAATTACTTTTAAAATTCTGCTGTTACAATAACAGTCCGTTATAATATTTGTTTTTGACGATAGCCTTTATTGATTGTTGAAATGTCGTGATATGAGTATACATTAATAATAATAACTCTTTTCCAGTTTCTTTTTTAACATTTCAAGCAATTCCTTAATTATTTTCCCTAGATACATTTTCTTGTTTCGCAGATATTCTACTACAAGTGAACATGTTTCAGTAAATGATACGTCTGGAATGTGTAAGTAGACGAAAGATATCATCGTCTCTAATTCTGAGATAGACATATATAAAACATAAATTGCATGCTAAGGATGTGGATATGTTATAATAAATACACTTTAAATGCCTTTAAAGAAATAACGCAATTAAATGAGAAAAGGGTCATTTTGTTTCAGCTTCAGCACAAGGCTGTATTATAGGCTATATGCGCTGTGTCCACCGAGAGTATCGAACCTTACATTTTAGCTTTATAATTCCTAAAGCTTATCGCTGACCAACGACGGGAAAAGAAAGTGTTACAGGTGGCACAATTATGAATGAAACATAATTTTCTGTTTGAAATATAAAAATCTGTCAGTCATCACTATTGCTACCAACACTACACGTCTTGTTATGTAATAATTTGTTTGAAAATTGAATATTCGAACATTATATACACTCAGCAAATTAATAAATAATACAAACCATACAAACACAAATAACTAGGCCTAAAATCTCGTTCTAAACTAGTACTAAAAATTCATCTGTGTATAACAAAATAAAAGTTCAAGGAAGAAACTAAAACAAACTATTTATTAGATTGTTTCTCTGTTTATATGTTGTTATATGACGGTTATATGTTGGTTGCAGAAAATAAACTAAAACTAGATATTTATTAGATTGTTTCTCTGTTTATATGTTGTTATATGACGGTTATATGTTGGTTGCAGAAAATAAATGAAAAACACCTTGAGGCATCTGTATATTTATGAAATATGAGAAATAACATAATATATTTTCCAAAAAAATGCCAGTCTATGTAAGCAATATATCAAATGATTGTTTATGACCGTTCGCTATATAACATTATTATCTTGTGATTGCAGCCATAATATGCGTTATCTACCTTCTTATGTTAATATACAATTATTTTCAAACATATTCGTTTTTCTTAAGTCTATGTATTTTTCATAAACACGCTGTCAATATAATGATCAAGTTGATTTCGTTCTGGCTACCTTTGTTCCTTTGTCATTCTATGGAGATACCACCTGTTCTGTCCATGGCTGCACGTATAAGAAGCAGCCAGCCAGAATCCTCCTTCGGTAGGCCAGGTGAGATCTTGAGATTACAGCCTCCCGTATGTTTGAATGAGAATGGCCAGTCACGTAAGCAGCTTTAACTTTTTTCTTCATCAACTGTCACCATGACACTTTATCATGCTGAAAATTTGGGATGGTCTTTGCTTCCATTTGTCGGGGACCTTTTCTGTGCAAATTCCAACATATTTTGAGAGATTTATCATTGCTAGCATCTGAGCAAAACTTCTTTCAAATCAGTCTCTGTTTCTTTTGCCCTTAAAGTAATTTATGCACTCATTCTTTGTTCGTCCAGGGTGAAGTTGGTTCTTTTCCAAATCCTTTGCCAAGCTTTTGTTTCCCGACGTTTTAAAACACATGCCTTTTCGACGTCACTTGTCCACAATATGGCTGGTCGAATCATTTTTTTCTGGACTATTGCGTTTTCTTGAACCTTTTTTTGCAGCGAGCTTACAATACAGTGATCATCTGTTAGATAATAAAAAGAAAAGATCGTTGTCTCTTCTGTTTCTTAAACGTGAGGGCCTCTGAATCCAAGAGTTCATGGTTCGCGCCCCGCACAGGGAAGCAGTAGTTTTATTTAAAGAGTGGCGATTTACAATACACCAACAGTTGTCGGTTGGTGCTGTTGACTAGCTGCCTTTATTGTAGTCTATCATTGCAGGTTCGGAAAGTTTCTTTCATTTAAAAACTAAATCCCTGTCATGTTTTTTTTGTTTTTGTTTTATTTTGTATAGCTTTGCGCGAATATCCGAACCAACCAAGCAAACAAACCATGTAAGATACATTATTCTTAATGCATAACTAGAACAATTATAGCGATAACTGAACCATGAAAAACTTTAACTGCGCGTTTGCACCTCACCTGCATCTTTTACTATCGCATGCTGCCTGTTTTCGAAAGCTGGTTGAAATCCTCACCTAATTCTGAGACCGATTCTTTTTAATCTTCACAGTAAGAAGATTTAGTTGAATTATTTTTTGTTATGTTCCAGTAAAGTGGTTACCAACTTTTTATCCTGTTTGCTCTCCAGTCAGACCTTGAGCCAACGTTGTACTCTTGACGCGTATATTTTGTTAAAAAACAACACCTAAGAACGTTTTATATTGATAGAAAGGTATAATTCAAGAAATAATTCAAGAGCGAGTCAACAATACGTGAACGTTGAGCGCCAGTTAATGGAATACATTTGAAACTTACCGAAATTGCACTCTAATATTGAGCTTATTTTCGTGTTAATGTTATCGAAAGGTTCCCAAGAGGTACGCCTACTACAGATTGGGGACCACTATTCGAGTATATATTTATAATATAATTTCCTAAATAACAATATATGTGCAAAACAAATGGATATTTTACATTTATTTAACTATTTATTATATTATGTGAGAATGTTTGATTTCCTGAATATTGTGAATATTGCCATGTATATTCAATAAAGAAATTACGTTCTAGTCTTTACGTGTTCCCTAATCTTCTAACCCATTTCCATATATCAACATGATGTTCCCTAATCTTCTAAACCATTTCCAGATATTAATATATATATCCTAGTCTTAAAGATGTTCCCTAAACTTCTAACCCATTTCCATATATCAACGTATATTATAGTCTTAATGATGTTCCCTAATCTTCTAAACCATTTCCATATATCAACGTATATTATTCTCTTAATGATGTTCCCTAATCTTCTAACCCATTTCCATATATCAACATATATTATAGTCTTAATGATGTTCCCTAATCTTCTAAACCATTTCCATATATCAACGTATATTATAGTCTTAATGATGTTCCCTAATCTTCTAACCCATTTCCATATATCAACATATATTATAGTCTTAATGATGTTCCCTAATCTTCTAAACCATTTCCAGATATTAACATATATTATAGTCTTAATGATGTTCCCTAATCTTTAAATCATTACCAGATTTTAACATATATTATAGTCTGAACGATTTTCCCTGATATTCTAAACCATTTCCAGATATCAATATATATCCTGGTCTTAACGATGTTCCCTAATTTTCTAAACCATTTGCAGATATCAATATATATATATATATCCTAGTCTTAAAGATGTTCCCTAATCTTCTAAACCATTTCCAGATAACAACACATATCCTGGTCTTAACGATGTTCCCTAATCTTCTAAACCATTACTAAATATCAACATATATTATAGTCTTAACGATGTTCCCTAATCTTTAAACCATTTTCAGCTATCAACATATATCCTGGTCTTAACGATGCAATCTAATCTTTAAACCAGTTTAAAATTTTTGCTGATCTATTTCTTTTTATCAAGCCTTAAGTCAGCCGTTAATCTTAAAACAAAATCCAACAAATGAATCAAGTAAAAGTAAATTAATACATAATTTATCGTAATTTGTCTTGTTTAAAAACTGGCATTTCACTGCAGAATTGCGCTTGTATATAAAGCCAATATAAGTTTGTTCACAGAGATGGTACATAATGATAATATTAAATAGACTTAACTTTGTTTCCCCATTTCTACGTCATATTTTTGTCATTTGTGCTATATTGACGAAATTATGGATAATTTTATCTTATTGAAATATTAAAATTACCCAACAATTTTGAAACATAAAACACACTCAAAAATATTTTAGAGTATCTTTCATTCAATCAGGAGGCTTTGCATACCCTGTTGGTTAAAGCAATCTGCGGTTCGAATCACACCACTGAAAATGCTTGCCCTTTCAGTGTGTGTGTGTGTGTGTGTTTTTTATTATAACAAAGCCACATTGGGCTTTCTGCTGTGTCCACCGACGAGAATCGAACCCCTAATTTTAGTGTTGTAAATCCAAAGAATTACCGCTGTCCTACCGGGGTACTGCCCTTTTACTTGTGGGGACGTTATTATGTGATAATCAATCCTACTATTCGTTGCTCAAGAGCAAAGAGCAGCCCAAAGGTTGTCCGTAGGTCGTGTTTACTAACTATCTTTCCTCTAGTCCAACGTTTCTCAAACTGGGGTCAGCGACAGTACTCTAGGTGGCCCGCGAGTCATGTTCGAAATTTCATATATAAAATATTTAGAAAAATATAATTTATAGAATAGATAGTGATTTTCGTAAAGTTAAATTTATGTAAATTAAAATATTTAATTTTGAAATATAGCTTTACATGTATACGGAATCATTTTTTCAAAACATTTTGAATTGAAAGGAGTCCTCGGGCTACTAAAGTTTCAGAGCTACTGCTGTAGTCTATCTATAACTGCTAAATTAAGAACAGCTGGTGCATACAGCCTTCGAGTAGTTTTGCGCAAAATTCAAACAAACAAACCTTCAACTAAGATGAACCGATTACAGTAATAAATCAAAATACAATACTTTTACACAAACACAACAATAATTATCGGGACAGAATACAAAGTAAAACTTTACTTCTAAGCCTACCTCGTACAGTTAATTTCGCTGGTGATCGGAGTGTGTGGGCTGTCAAAACTATTGGTGAACTCCGACCTCTAACGTTGGAAGCTAACACCAAAAATCGTATAGCTGTGTCCGCTGGAAGGTCTCTAACAGAAAACTTTGGTTCGGTTGATAAACTAATATTAGCTAGAAGCTTTCCACTCTCCAAGCTATAAGCTTCTATCGTGTAACTCTGGGGCGAACCACCATCGTAACCCTTAAGGCACTGAACAAAGATCGTATGTTCCGTCTGATTCAGCACAGAACAATTATTCACGGGATCTGGTGGGCCTGCGAATAGATCAATTTATAAACGGTTATTCTAAATATTTTTTTACATGCAAATATGCTTATACATAATAATTAATAGTTACAAGAGACTAGATATTTATTTCAATATCTTCCATTTTGCAAGGATTCGTGTGTTTTATGGCCGACCCAAACACCCAAGTTCTAGCAAATTTAAAGTGATAATACTTGTAGCATGGTACACTGTAATTTTCCAACAAGCGGTATCGGCACATAAGGGACTGCTTTCCTTGTTGTCCTTATAAATAAGTTTTTTATTCACAGTAGTTTGAATACTATTCGAGAGATTTTTTTCATATCTGGAAGAAAGATAGTTTGTTTTTTCTGCGATCGAAAATCCCAACATATTTGGTATGTAGAGTTTAGTGGTGTGCCTTATACTAAAATGCTTAAATCATAACATATAAGGTTGACATTTTAGTTTGGCATCCTCGTATTTCGTCCTGTGACTAAACGGAATGTTGATCTTTGACCCAGACATATGAAAACGTATCTACTTTAGCGGATCATTACCCCTCCTTGTAACTACTACAAAAAAAGGTTCGGATAACATTAAGGAAAATACACCATTTCAACATTGAATAACGACATAGAGCTAGAAAAGAAAAACTTAGAACTTCTACTGATTTTACAAATCAATTTACAAGTCCCAATCTTGAAGATAGTCTTTGTTAAAAACCTTCGGAAGATTTTCTTTGTAATAATTTAATTAAAAGTTTATTGCCCTTAGTTAAAAGCCTACAACTATAAAACATAAATAGCCAATGATCGCTAAAACTACCGCGTTGTCGTCCATGACTAAGTGTTTAATGGATTCCTGTGATTTGATTACACTTTTATCTCTCTGTTTCGTATTTTTCTGATTTACTAATGTATTCAAAAGTGTAAAAAAAAAGCCTCCAAAGTCATCAAATTTCAGAGAATTCTTCGTAACTGAATAAACTTTGTTGTTGAATAATTCTCAGAATTAAAAGGAAAATGTTTTTGTTTAGTTTTCAAAGAGAAAATCTCGATTTATCAGTAAGCACACTTCACCTAAAAATATACTCAACAAGAGTTATGGCATTGTATTCTGAAAACAATGTATTTTTAAACACATTATTATTTTATATACTTCCAATTTTGTAAGAATGTTTTAAACATATATATATATATATCTACGTACATTATGGTCAAAACATAGAATGATTATTAGGTGATTCATGTTTAATATACCTTTCATCGGAAAGTTTTATTTAGGTAAGTTAAGACATTCTATAATACATATCTATATCGCCTTTCTTGTAAACCAGCATTGGTTTTATATATCTTTCTTCCCCCTCTTTCAAGAACACAATATTAATAACTCGACGAAGATTGTTGACAATTTGCGAAATATTGCGACAGTTATTGAATCCTGGTCAGAATAAAGGATGTTTACGTTCGCCTGCTTTAGGGGTAGACTTGATGTACTGATTTAGAATAATTGAAAGAATATAAACTACCACGTGTGAAAGTTTATGGAACACCCTGTACCACGCCCAAGTGTTCTTTAGTAAAACTTCAGATTCCCAATGTGTGTCTGTTGAGATTTAGTTTCCATAGAACAAGCTTTTGTTTAAATATAATCATTTGAGCTATGGGGGTGATATTAACAGTCATTGTGTATTTGTTTAACACTGAGAACAGTCATTGTGTATTTGTTTAACACTGGAAAAAAATAAATCCGACCGCAATATTCAAACTCTTCCACATATATAAAATAACTTTTAGAAAGTTTTTAAAACTATATGGTAGTTTAGTATCGAGTATAATTTATAGATTCGTGTATAGCAACATTCAGGTTAAAGAACAATGGTCACTAAGAATATGTAATAATATGTTATCCACACTTTATCTGCCATATCCAAAACAGACGAGGCCTTTTGCCCAATAACAGGGCTCATCAGGCCGGCTGGGATATGGCAGACCTATCCAACAAGAGATTTTTATGGAATTCTACTAACTCTAATGATTCACTTTCTTCTATTACTCAAGCTTTTCATTTATCTAAACTCTATTATTAGTATTTATTACCAGCTGGAACAATGCTAAAAGAACAAGGTTCTTTTTGGACGCCGATCTTATTGGTTCCCCAACACTCCAATGATCCATAGTCGTGCCTCGTTTTCGGGGTATAAGTAGCTGTACTACCTGATTGGTCCCAGGTGTGTTGAATATCATCTGATTGACCGGAACGAGTAATTACACGCCAATGGAAAGTGATGTCCGGTGGGTCAGCGTCCAGTGCACAATCCACATACACAGTTTCACCCATGGCCACACCATATGATCGTCGAAGAGGCTGGCATACAGGGGCATCTGTAGACGAAAGTTAATTTTGTAGGAAACACACATTGTAGAACATATGTACATATAGAACGCAACTAGATGGTTGTTATAGCAATTAACTAAGGATAATATTAGACCGAAATTCAAGACAAGAAAATGAATTAGGCACAACTCACTGATTTATAACTTCAAATATTTGTAATGGTACTCAGAACCAGATCTAAACTACATATTATAAATAAATTGTTAGAAAACTAAATTTTCTAAAAGTGTCATCAGAAATCAAGGAAAGTGAATCTCTGTTGTTTGAGATCGGACGTGATCGAATAGTTAGTGTGTTGGGCTGTGGATGGGAAGGCCAAAAGTTCGAGCCGCAAGATGCCCTGCACTTTAAACTGCGAGATTGTTATAACCGGGAAAGTGAATCCCGCTATTCAGCTTAGAGTAACCGTGTCAGCAGCGGTTACATTCCAATTGATGACACTCCCTGTGGTAAACATTTCTAAATTAGGGATGTTTTTGCCTGAGTCTTGAAGTCTCTGACTTGGCCAATTAGTCTTTCAAGTTGAAAATATCAAATAGCAAATCTAACGTTATTTACAAATACAGGCGATGATAATATTGAAAATTAAATAGAAGCAGATGGGTAAAAGCCTCAATCCTCCTGTTAGTTCAATATAAGTATATTAGAAGGACAAGTCAAAGTTATTTTACTAAAAGTAAATAGATATACACAGTGTTGTTCAGTAAAACTTCTAAACCAATCTCTTTTAATATATCTATGTATTTTACCATAACATTTTAAACGTACTACGACGTTAACCATTTTTAGACCTATAGAACTATAGTGTACAGTTAGTTATTAAGACAGCTAATTTCATCACTTCCTAATTTATCTCTTCTTTGTCATCGCAAATTATATCACACATTGAACAGACTTTATACAGAATCATCCTGATAAACAAATAAATATCTTTTTATATCGAATTTTCCGATAGTATTTTTTGCCATGTTGTAGATTTGAGTGGCTTCATTGGATATAAAACTGGACTATGATTCGCGTTTTCATGAGAACTATTTATAACCAGCTAGGTTGGTTAAGTGGAAACTGTAATCGCAGGCTTAATTTACAGGCACTACCTGAGTTAAGTTACTGATCTTTCTCTGAATGTCAGAGCGAAGTATCCTTCTCCCTATTCATCAAGACGACTAAAGACGCAGCGAAAAGAAAATTAGAAATCTACAAGAATTTTTTAACAAACAATCATGTCAATAGTTGAAGCTTCTCGTTATTAACTAAGCGTATTACAGACAGTTCTAGAAATACAGTATACTAACGTACACTTAACCTGCAAGAATATCTCATTACTGACACCTAGGCCTTCAGGATTGCTGGCAGAGCATCTGTAGCGCCCTCTGTGAGCTTGACTGACTTTTTGTAAGATGAGGGTCCCATTATTTATAGTGGCTATTGAGGCCACGGGACTTAGATTGATTTCACGCCCTCCAAACTCCCAGCTAATCTCATTCGTCGGTGGATTGGCTCGAACGTGACATTCGAAATAAACGTCCATTCCTTCTTGGACATCTCCTAGTTTATCCAGCTGGAGTACAAGCTCTGGAGGATCTGTATAAGAAATTGTAGCATTCATACATTACCAGTGATACATTTTCTGGAATGAGTTTATGAAAAGCGTTACTTCATAGAACAGTGTAAGATATAAAAAGATTTAAAGCTTCTGTAATTGAGGACTGTGTTAAGTGTAGATTTGATTTTGTATACATTTCAGAAAACAACAACAACATCAACAAATGAATTCGCTAAATGCAAAATTGATTTAAACCTAAGGACAATTATGAATTAATTTTAGAAATATAACAAATTCAACTACTATTTAAAGAATTGTCACAAAGGCAAATTATTTAAATATAGAATATCGCCCCCTTCATTACTAAAATAATTATTTTTTTAAAATATTATATAAGGCGATAGTGAACGATGAATACTGGTGAGAATTTATCACAGTAGGATACTTTCATATAAAGTACTTTCCTCAACATATACAGTACAATCCATTGACAAGAAGAAGTTCAAGCAAAAACAGTATTACAGAATTTAACTGAATACTCTATGTTTTTACTGATTTTGAAGAAAGAGGTCAAATATAAACAAAGTGAAAAGGTAATTCAACACTTCAAAGTGACGAGGGTGTAAGACTGAGAAACATAGTATTATACATATAATTGAACAGTGCTGAACTTCTCAGAACGCTTGCTTTACTCACGTCACTGTTGATCATTCCAATAGATAAATAAGGGGCGATTTACCCTCAACATATTACTTGACCTACCAGTGGAAAATATTGTTTTCCGCCTTTACATATTGTGTTTTACTTTACAGTAACCTTTCTCACGCAAAAATGCACGTGATACTATAGGGGAATGATCCAGAACAATCGGTAACAGGGTGGCAGGAACTTAATCACATTCATTGACCAATGTCCATTTTTAAACGTAGATACAGTAATTGTATGCTCACCTTGAAAGAGATAGGAAATACCTAGTATGTTTGGATACTACAATATCAGTACGTGTTAACTTTCACTGAATCAAGTGATTAGTTTTCCGGAGGTACGAAATGCTACTGTACTGTAGCGTCAGTATACAAACGGATGTATTATTAATAACTGATTAATCAGTAATGTTAACACTAAATTATTGTCCACTCGATTTACTAATAGACACTTTACACACACCCTTTCCTAACAAATGACAAAATTAGTAGTATTAAATTTTAAATAAATTATGGTACCAGTGGAGTTTGTTAGAACAGAGCTTATTCAGGGAACAACTCAATACGAAAGCAGTTTAACAGAGACTGTGAAGCTAACTGTAAATATTTTTTAGGAACATAAGACTTTAGAAGCTGTAGATTATAATATTCAGAAATTTCAACGAATTGGGAGAACAATGAATGACTATAAACTAAGCTGTAAAGAAGTAAAGTTTGATTAACTAATATTTCAAACTAAGCAGCGAAACTACCTTCAGTAATTTAAACTTTCAGAGTTTCTCGAATATTTAACAGCAACAGTAAAGCAGATTAATACTAAGTTTTCTCTATCAGTGTTCTAAGGCAGCTCTTTAAACCCAAATTTGATGAACCCGCTTAATCAATTCCTCTGCAATTTGAGAACTCACTCCTATTGCTAATATTTCCAATATATATATACTTGTGTAGATTTGCCGACTTCAATATCAGTATATATATATATATATATGATATTGAAGTCGGTAAATCTACACAAGTATTTATAGAGTATTACTGTTAATCCTAGGCAATCTCGTAGTGTACATGAAGAGATACATATATTATCGCATACCTAATTACTTTAATTACACACACACATCATTATATGTATATTGTGTTTTAACACATTTTCTGAGAGAAACCGTGGTGAAATTTAATTAGTGTCTGAATGCAGTGTCAGATAATTAATTTTCTCATATAGAAACAACAGTGAGGTAACACAGGCATTACCCTTGTCCAAATCCATTGTCTATGTGATTTTATTATGAAGAGCATACATATAGGTAAAAGAAGATGAGGAAGAGTGATGAAAATTTTTATTTAGATTTAAATGGTTAATCTTTTTTTATATGTATTTTTGATGAATACTCCTCGGCCTCACAACAATAGAAACCTTTCTAGTGGTTAACGTGCCAGGCTATGGATTGTAAGATCCCAGATCCGAAACCACGATTTACTACTAAACACACACCGTTCTTTCATCTGGGGGAAGTTGTAAAAGTAACAGTCACTCACGCTATGCGTTCAAGGATAGCTATGCAGACGTTAAATACTGCTGACTAATTGCCATTTCTCTGATCTGCACTTTTAAGTT